AAGGTACCGGGGTCTCCAGCACTCGGATCTCTGCTCAGCAGCAGCAGAGCCATCTCGGAACTCAGGGACCAGAAGAGGCCAGGCCTGCCCAGGCAGGGACCCCCGAGTGGCCAGCTCAGCCGTGGGGGCTTCACCACGTGGACTGAGCAGAATTCCATCCTGTGACCACGTGCCCGGCTGGCTGGGCGTCTCCGGACACCGGTCGCCCTTGAAGACGCCCCGGCTGCCGTGTGGCCCCGTTGCCCTCAGCCCTGGCTCGGGCCTCTCGCCTCCCCCTTGAGCACCGAGATTTCTCAGCCGAGCTCCCGCCTCGCCAACCCAGTGCTTCTCCCCAGACACGACCCCCTGCCTCCCTGGGACATTCGGCAATGATCCTGGACCTTTTGGTTGTCACAACTGGGTTGGGGGCATGGCTGATGTGTAGTGGGCAGAGGCCAGCGACGCTGCCCACAACAGGCCTCAGGACAAAGAACCACCCCGTCCCCACTGGCAACAGAGCCGAGCTGCGGAAGCACTGCTGACCCACCCCCCGCCTGCTCAGTCCCTTCTTTAGGCTGAATCTCCCAGCAGACCGGGCCCTGCCCAGCGCCCACCTCCCTGAGCTTGCCTCTGGCACCCAACGGGCCACCGTGCCCAACCTGTACAAGGCAGGTGCACGCCCCTCCCCCGACACCCACCCCAGCCCAGCTGGGTCCCGTGGACTCCAGACAGCACAGCTGGCTCCGGAAGATGCTCCCTGATGCCCTGGCCGAGGTGGGCACGGCCACCCTTGCTTCCCCAGGGTCCTCTTAAATATCTCCTTGCGGACACGTCCGTGCCCACAACCGGCTGGTAGCCCCCTGAGCAAGGCAAGGCGTCCAGACGTGACCCCTCCGGAAGGTGGGCACCGCGGGAGGGGCTCAGCAAGGGGGTGACTGCTCGGGGAGGGTCCCGTCCTCCCAAACGACATCCTCTCCAGGAAGAGCCAAGAGACACCGGTCAGAGCTGCCTCTGCATGGAGCACGCTCCTCCCCAACCCCCCGATCACCCCACGGATGCCGAGGGTCACGGGGAGCAGCAAACGGTTGAAGGAAACCCAACGACGGTGAGTCCCAAGTCTCCAGCGTGAAGGACAACTTCAAAATGCTTTGCGCCACACGTTGGCTGCCAGGCACGGCCACCCTTCCGCGAGCTGGGGGTGGAAACGCTTAACCATCTTTCCCGGGAGCCCGAACGGCGCAGGACGAAGGGACGACAGCCCGTGCTCCCCGAAGCCCTGCCTCCCGGTGGCCGTGGGGGGAGGGGCTCCATGGTTTCACTGGTGCCTGATGGAGCTCGGCAGCCACGTGCTCACGCCAGCCTTGAAAACCCCTTCCTGGAGGAACGTCCCACTCCAGGGGGCTCTTGGGCGTTGTTGAAGCCGAACTAGACCAGCAGAGCTTGTCATCTACAGTGTCATCACGCAAAAGTAAAAATAAACTGAGTTTGCTGCTGCCCGCTGCCCGGCTCCGGCCGACAGGGAGCCCACGGGAGGTGGGAGGGAGGGAAGCGAGAGCCATCAGGGGCCCCGGGCTGGCTGCGTCCCTCACCGACAGTCACCGCCTTCTCAAGTGGCTTCTGGCCGTGACCCGTGGTCCTCCCTGGGCGCCGCGCCGCCCTCTGCCCTTGTCATCCAGGACGCCACGGCTCCACTGGCACAGCCGCGGGTGCAGCCCTGTGCTCTCAGGCCCCACCCAGCCCTCTGGGAACCGGCCCCCAGGCTCAACCTGTTGCCGGCTCCACCTGCTTCCTGCGAGGACCCCGGCCGCTAAGCCCCTCGGGGAGGGTTCCCAAAGGGTCCTCCACAGGACGCACGTGGACTCGCTGCAGGAAGCCCCTCTGCCGGGCGGCACCTGGGTGCCGAGCAGTCCGAGACGCAGGCAGACCACTCGCAGGGGCGCCATGGGCCACGGGGGATGGGCCGCAGCACGAGACGGGGGACGGGGTAGGGTGGAGAGATGGGGCGGCCCTCTCAGTGCCAACACCGCACCCCTCCTGCACTGTGATGCAGTGAATTTTCAAATGTGTTTTCTTAGTAATTAGAAAAAAATCCCGCAAAACCCCAAAGCAGGTGGGGCAGGCACAGCGGGCAGAGTGGTGCTCAGGGAGAGACGCGGCCCTGGGGTGGGCGCAGAGGGGCTTCCCCTGGGCTGTGTCACCCACGGCCCACACCGCCCGGGCCCCATCCCTCAGCCCCTCTCAATCGGCCATGGCCCCGCCTGGCCCCAGTGCCTCCTCCCCGGGGGGCCTCCTCCCACCCTGAGCCTGTCCTCTTCCCCGAACCTTCCCTGGTGGCCTGAGCTCACCCCCTTTGGCTGCCAGAGGACAGGGCCAGAGATGGCACGGGTGACCAAGCGGGGGCCAGAGAGGACAGAGACGTGCCCCTTGCAGATCCTGTTCAGAGCTGCCTCCACCATACCCAGCCGGCCGCCTCCCGCCTTCCAAACTCCTCACACAACCTGATGCCTCCTCCCCCAGCCCTGGGTGGGCTCCGGGGATTGGGGGGGCAACTCTGCACCTGGATTCCTAAGAGCCGCCAGCCCTGGGACAAAAGTCACGTAGTGACAACAGCGTCCCTCCCACAGACAGATGCGCATAATCTCTGCTAACATTTCCCCATTGTGTGGCTGACTTAGACGGAACAGACGCACGCAGTAACCCCAGGCAAGAGAGAGAGTAGCGAGAGCTGGCAGGAAAGGCCTAATCCCCGCGGAGGGTTAGTGCGGGGGCTGCTGGAAGGCCCCGCCCCAGGCGGAAGTGAGGGATTGCAGTAATCCAGTCATCCCCTGGTGGTCTTCTTATGACATTGGGCCCCCCTTTCCTCCGGGACACCCCAGGGGGGGAGTCCCGCAATGGGGACGTCACTCCCGTGAGCTACCTGGAAGGTCGCAGTGGCAGGTAGGCCCCTACGTCAGAGCCAAGGCCAGGCGGGTGGAAACAACGGGGCAGAGGTGGCCACACCAGCATCCTGGCTGTACGTCCCCCAGCTGTGGACCCGTGGCAGGTGACTCTGGAGCATGAGAAGTGCCCTGATGGGAGACTGAGGCTGACTCGACCTCCCCCCACACCCCACCGCCACCCCCAGCAAAAAGCTCTCGGCCCCCGGCTTGCGTTCCAGATACAAGCAGGAAGGAAAACGCACCACACGTGGGGGACGCGGGGATGCGGGGACGCGTTCCCCAGGGCCCCAGGCAACGCCCTGTCCTTTGGGGATTATTTTCCTTCTTTCTCCTTCAGGGTACCTGTGACATCAGAATGACAGCCTGAACACACCTGGGCAGAAAACTACGGGCCCCGCGTCCTTGGGCCAGGAGGGCTCAGCCTCTGGGGAGCTCCGCTGCCCGCACGCGCCCTCGCCAGCCCTGCACACGCGGGAGCGCGGCCGCACGCTGTGCACAAGTGCCGGACTCGGCCTATCTCGCCGGACAGACCCAGGCCTGACGCCGGGCAGATCCTCGAGCTCCGGGGACTGTGCCGCTCGCCGCAGTGACAGAGCTGCGCAGGACCAGCCCGGCCTTCCGGGGACATCCGGTTCCCGGCGGGTCACCAGGAAGGGGCAGGAGCGACCCCACTGACGTGCGGGTTATGGGGGCAGAAAAAGTCACGCGGGGGCCTGCAGGACCCAAAGGGGGAGGAAGCCGTTCCCCGGAGCAGCCAAACCGGGACTGAGGGCCATGGGGTGGCAGATGGGGAAGATGTGTCACACAGACCACGGTGACGCAGGAAGAAGAATCCAAAGCATGATCCAACCTCGAGCCCCCAAGGGGACAGGCAGGAGGGGGCTCGCTAGAGGCCGCCCCGATCCCGCTGTTTCTCATGGGGGCCACCGAGGCACACGGCCAGGGGAGGGGCACGCAGACCTCACACGGGCCAGTCCCTGCGCAAACAGCCACGCAGTGATGTCACCACCCCACATTGCAGTAACACTCCAGTCCCCGGGACGGGCTGACAGGGCAGATCTATGTTCACCGCCTGTCTCTTCTTCCAGCCCAGCCCCCGAGCCCCTCCCCTCCACCCTGTGCAAAGTCCTCCACTGGGCCACCGCCCGCCAGGGTGACATCCCTCAGGGGCAGCCCAGCACCTGCCCCAGCACCTCCTTGTCCTGCAAACCCCCAGCAAGTGCTCACTCCCAGGCCCCACCAGCTCCTCTCCCACCTCGCCCCAAAGGAGGCCGGAGCTCCACCTGCCCTGCACTGGCACCGACGGGACACAGGATGAAAATCGTGGTCACTGTGCGGACGGCCGCTCTGTGTGGGGCGACTGGAGACAGCAGGACGTGCAGGGCAGGTGTGAGGGGCAGGCCCAGGGGCAGGGGGTGGACCCCAACTGCCCGAGTGTCAGAGGCAGAGACAGGGTAGGGGTGAAGGGCAGAAGGGCGGGAGACACTCCCCCATCTGCCCGTCAAGCTCAGAGCCAGGGCTCCTGGATGCCCAGAGGGCGGTGGTGGGGACAAGGAGGGGACAAGGCCAACCCAGACACAGGACGGGGTGGGGACCCCTGAAGCTCCCAGGAAGGGGAACCACGGTTTGCAAAATCACTGCCGTGGCAGCGCAGTACCGCGATGCAAAACCCAACAACTCGTTTCCTTACATGCCGAAAACAGCAAAACCAGAAACGCCCTTGCTTTCCCAGCATTTCCTCGGAGAACATTCCGACTCTCGGGTTACACCCAGGTAGAGCAGACAATTTTGGCTCCGAAGCTGTGTCTGAATGGCCTGGAATTTCAGCCGCCGGTAACGAGCCGGCCGAGGGCGCCGCAGATGAATGAGCCCTTTCTGCGTCCCGCCCGCGCCCGCGCCCCCCGTGGGAATATCCCGCTGCTCGGGCTCGGCGAGTTCACACGGACCCGCCACGGCGCTGGGCTCTTACGCCGCTTTCCAGGAGCACATTTTTTAAAATTTCAGGATAGAAACGTCTCAGAACAGAAGAGCCGCTTCCAGGGCACGGCCGCGGGCCACGGTGGGGCCGTCCGTCCGTCCTACCTTGTTGTAGTACTGCACCTGCACCGAGTGCCAGCGCCCGTCACTCACGCCCCCGGGGACCTGCGGCGCCACCGTCGTCCTGGACTCGCCTGCACGTGGGAGGGAGACCCGGAGAGGAAACGGGGGTTGAGGGGCCTGCTGGGGACCCCGTTTGGGCTCCATGACTGCGGGCAGGGGGGTGTCAGAGACATGGCTGAGTCCTCCCTCCCTGCCCGCCCCACGGCTCCCGCTGCAGGCCCCACTACTCCACTGGTTTTCTCTTTCTGGTTGCAAAAGTAATTCCTGTTCCTCTTTCCTTTCTTTTTTTTTTTTTTTGAGACAGAGTCTCCCTCTGTTGCCCAGGCTAGAGTGAGTGCCGTGGCGTCAGCCTAGCTCACAGCAACCTCAGACTCCTGGGTTCAAGCGATCCTCCTGCCTCAGCCTCCCGAGTAGCTGGGACTACAGGCATGCGCCACCATGCCGGGCTAAATTTTCCTATATATTTTTAGTTGGAAAGCTAATTTCTTTCGAGCGATCTGCCCGCCTCAGCCTCCCAGAGTGCTAGGAGGACAGGCGTGAGCCACTGCGCCCGGCCCCTCTTTTTTAAACATGAAAAAAACATTAAGAAGCATAAAGAGGGTGAACATGTCTGTTAGCGCAGCACGTCACGCCCACGCCGTGGCAGGGACTTTCGTATCTCCTACGCGCTGCACCAGCGCAAAGTCATCAAAACCGACACAGAGCTCTGTTTACCTGCTGGTCACTAATGCCACATTGAGAGTGCTGTCCCATGTTTTTAACAACCTTGTCACCACGTAACACATCTGTCAGTCAGTGAGGTCACAGAACACCCCCTTGGACGTCTCTGTCTCGGGGCGCCTGTGTCCCGTCCCCCCCAGAGCTCTTGCTTCCGAGGGGCTGGGCAGGCCCGGCTGTACGTCCCCCCGGGGATTCTGGCTGAAACAGTCCTGGCCATGCAGCAGCTGGCAGGACCGGAGAAAGGAGCTTTGCGTGCAAAGAGCGACAGGGTCCCAGGCAGGGAATGCCACCCCAGGGAGCCGGCGGGCGCCCCATTTCTTTATTCCGTACAAAAAGCAAGGCCCCAACCTCTATCACGCTTGTTTAAATAGACAGGGCCAGGGCTCAGGGCCCAGGAGCACCTGTGAGCTGACCTGGTGAACTCCCAGGTAAAGGAGGAGCAGGCACAATCCCCCGCTAAAAATCAATGGTGCCAGAAAAACACAGACGCTGCTTGTGGGCTGTCTGGATGCTCTTTTCCAACAAGCGGGACAACACATTCAGTGGCTTTTTTGATATTTTTAATCTAGAGATATACCACACATTATTTAAGGACTACCTCAATTTTTTAAAAAATGAACTGTATCTTCCATACTTTCAGCGCTACAAGTAACACCGTAATGAACATCTTTGTGCACTGCGGGTTTCTTCCAAGGGATGGATTCCTAGACGTAGAATTAGGGGACCCAAGGGTGCGCGGCCTGGAGGATCAGGGCGGTCCTAACCGACAGAGCGCGGGAGAAGCGCTCCGAGCCCTGCCCTGCCCGGGAGGAGATGCTACCTGCGGAGAAGGTGAGCTGCAGCTGCTCCTCCACCACCTCCAGCGCGATGAAGTCGTGCTTCTCGTTGAAGCGGCCATTGTAGAGCAGCAGGGCGTTCCTCTCTTGGGTGGCAAACCTGCGGCGCCAAGCAGAAGCACGTCACACGGGATGACCCCGGGGCCAAAGGCCGCCCGGGAGGGACGAGCACAGCCAGAGGAGGACAAGCACGCGGGCCGCCATTCGGGACAGGCCGTGGCCCCGCACTCATCCCGCCGGTCAGCGGCCGACGGCCCATCAGACCTGGTTAGCAGCCTGGTTCTTTTCTGGAAGTCACAAGCCAGAATCCACGGGGAAATGTGGTCACCACGGGCTGCAGAATGTGACATTATGTTTGCACAATGTTCTAGAAGCATGACACCCAGCCAATATATTGTTTGCAGACGTTTTCAGATAGAAAACACACGTGGCACACCTTCTGTTGCCGGAAGTAGATTCCTCGAGTATGCGTACCAGGGCACAGGGACGTGGCACCTTCCCGAGTGGGGACGCTGCTGAGGAAGGACCCCAGGGCCTGCCCCGGCCCCACCACACTCCATTCCCACGTGCACCTGCCCGTCCCCAGGCCCTCGGCTCCTGCTGCCCCTTCTGGCGGGAACAACCTTCCCCGGCTCTGCCCATCTCCCGGGATCACTCCACCTGCGTTCTCTCTGACTCGTTTTATCTACCCTGCCCCTATCCGTCTATCACAGCACTGAGTTAATTTCTGAAATTATCCTGCTTATTCACCTGTTTATAGGAACGTACAACCCTTCAGGGGGAGGGGCTCCCGTGAACGGCTGCCTGGTCCGCGCCAGTGTGTGAATAAATGAATGAACAGGCGCGCAACAATGAACAGACCCGTCAGAACTTTACACGTTCAAAGAGTAAAAAAACGGCCAGGTGTGGTGGCTCACGCCTGTCATCCAAGCACTCTGGGAGGCCGAGGCAGAAGGATCGTTTGAACTCAGGAGGTCGAGACCAGCCTGAGCAAGAGCGAGACCCCGTCTCTACTAAAAATAGAAAGAAATTAGCTGGACCACTAAAAATATATAGAAAAAATTAGCCGGGTCATGGTGGCGCATGCCTGTAGTCCCAGCTACTCGGGAGGCTGAGGCAGGAGGATCGCTTGAGCCCAGGAGTTTGAGGTTGCTGTGAGCTAGGCTGATGCCACGGCACTCTAGCCAGGGTAACAGAGTGAGACTCTGTCTAAAAAAAAAAAAAAAAGGAGTAAAAAATCTCTTACACCAAGAGATAATCATTCTCAGAAGTCCTTCTCCCTCCGGCCCACAGTCCTAAGACGCTGCTCCATGGAGCCCAGAGTCCTCAGGGGGTCTTCAGGACCCCAACACCCTCAGTGGCAGAGAACTCGGCAAACCCCCCTGAAAGAACCTGGGACCAACTCCCGAGTGAGCTGTTTGTCTCCCCGCCACAGAGGAAGTGGCAGAAATCCCTTCCTTTGACCCAAGGGTGGTGGCTCTGTTTTCACGCAGCGAGAGTGTGAACCGGCCTCAAGCCCCTGGCCTGGGCACTTTCCACTGAGCTGCCGCACAGTCGACGGTGGCTCTGAGAACCGGCGACACACCCTGAAGGAAAACACCTGCACAGCAAGCTGGACGCTTAGGTGTGGAGCGTGCAGGGGGCAGAGGGGACCTTAATCAGGGTGAGGACCAGCTCGACCCCAGGCTGATTCCCAAGACGGCCGGGTGGGCCGCGCCTACTTCTTTGTTAGGTTTCGCTTTGTGTGTCTCTCTCTGGCCCCTGGCGGGAGCTGGGTCGGGGTGTCAGCGTGGAGCGCCGGCCGGCAAGCACCGGTCACCGCCAGGGACGCAGAGGCAGAGGAGGCCCGAGACCGAGGGGCAACGCAGCAAGAGGAGGAAGGGCAGGCGCAGACACCGAGGCTGGGGGCAGGGCCCGGAGAACAAAGAGTGGCGGGTACGCGAGAGGCAGGAGGCTGGGAACGCAGCCCGGAGCCCACTTGGGAGCCCAGGCACTTGGCAAACAGCAACCAGAAAGCGAGAAGGGCCCCAAAGAACCACCTGACACAAAGGGGGCAACTGCGCCCCGCCCGCTCTCACCGCGCCACCCGGGAGGGCGCGGGGGAGGCCACTGCCGAGGCGGCAATGTTCCGTGAGGTCCGGGAGGCCCCTGTATGATTTTGCTCTCAAAGCCACTCCCTGCAAAACGCTCACGGATTTAGCGCCCCCCCACCCCCCGATTTTCCAGCCGCCACCCATGCAGAAGGGAAATCGCCCGTAAGTCGAGGCCCAGTGTGACGATCTCACGGACAGGAACCTGACAGCAAGTGGGCACGGAGCCACCCCACGTGGACAGTTAGGTCACCGTGGCTGGGGTCAGAGGGCAGAGGCTGGGAAGCGGGGTGGGCGCGGAGACGTTGGTTAAGGGGTACAGACAGACAGCTGGGCAGAGGGGTGAGTTCCAGCATTCGACAGGAAGGCAACCATAGTTAACGCTGACTTACCGTAACATCTGGAAAAAACTAGAAGAGAAGAACCCTAACGTTCCCAGCACAGAGAAACAACAAACACTTGCTGTGACAGACATCCCACTAAGCCTGGCTTGACCATCTCACACTGTAAGCAAGTATCAAAACACCACACGTGCCCCTAAATTAGGCACAACTATTTATATATCAATAAAAAAATAAGTTTAAGAAAACATTATCATTTTTCACTTTCTCTCTCTGTCTGGAGCCAACACACTTCCCTCGTTGGCTTCCGGCACATTCCCCAGCCTCACGTCCACGCCTCTGGCCCCAGGACCTTTGGCCACCTGCGAGGTCGGCCTCCAGTGGTCACCCTCCTGCAGCTCACGAAACTGCCACAGGCCACGGCAACACGCGTGGCTGAGAGCTGTCGGCCAAACCCAGGTGTCTGGTGGCCATGACTACATACATGCCCAAGTCACGTGCACAGACTCAAGCCTGTCACACGCCACCACGATGTGTCTGCCAGAAGACACAAGGACTCCTTTTGGCTTGGAGGGCAGGCACCTGCAGAAGCCCTCTGCTGCAAACACAGACACAGTTGCCAGGGACCCCACGGCAGGGCCCTCGTTTGGGAGCCTGTGCAGAGCAAGTGCTGCAAGGTGACACCGATCCTTTTACAGGAGGAATTGGGGGCGGGACAGCAACCTCCGGCTGCCAGGCACTGCCACCAGGCTCTGAGAGCCCTCACAGGAAGCCCCGGGGGAGGGACCCTCATTAGCCCGTTTACAGGACATGAGGCACAGAGAGGGGAAGTCACCTGCCCACGGTCAGGGTGTCAGAAAGTGGCAGAGCCATGGTCTGTGGGCCAAAACAAAATGTGCAAACCCCCGACACAGCAGGCACCCAACTGGCTTGAACCTCACAACAGGAGGGCCCACGGAACCGGGCCAGGCCCCCTATTCTGAAGGTTAGAAGCAAAGCAACGTACACCAGGCCCGGAATGTGCCTTGAGCTTGGCGTGTGGGAGCCGCTCTGGATTTCATCAGAATCAGTCTCAAAACCCAGGAGACGGACAGACCCTGGGAAACGACTGCCCACTAGGAGGGCAAGCCGTGGGCACGCTTAACAGCACACGGCACCGAGGGCAAGGACTCTGGGCAAATGGCCTGGTGGTGCACCCTGGTGGCCTTGTGATTGGGCAAGTTCTGCCGCCTTTCTGTGCCTCAGTTTCCATACCTGTAAGATGGGGACAAGAGCAGCACCCAGCTCACAGGGTCCCGTGAGCTGCCAGCAAACGCCTGGCACAGAAACCTGCTCATTGCCACGGCTGTTGTCCATGTTGCCCGCTGTGGGGAACGGGGCAGGCCAGGGGGACCTCAACATGGTGACAACAGCAGGCACAGCTGTCCACGACGAGCTTGAAGCCAGGAAACAGGAGACAGGGATCGCAGGTGATGATTTAGAGGTTTTCATAAATGCATCTGCTTTGGAGACTTTGGCACAGTCAAAGCATTTGACAAGCAGGAACAAAAGCAGGATTGGGGAGTCTGGCGTGAGTCCATCCCCCAAGTGATGAGCCTGCTGCGTTGGGACCAGTTTGGAGGCAGACGAGAGCCACGACGTGGAAAACCCACGGATGACTCAGGCCACTCAGGTCAACCCCGTGCCCACGTCTGAGCCTTCCAGGGGCGACTGGGGCAGACGGGCCTGGAGCCCGCAGTCAGGGACGGCCTGGGCTAGGAGGCGGCAGGCAAGTGGGAAGTGACCGGGCCATCCAGCTAGCGCTGGAATGCGGCGTCCCTGGCCGGGGTCAGGAGGGCTTCCTGGAGGAAGCAGGCGGGGCTGGGTGGCCTGGCAGTGGGAGGCTGGGAGAGAACATTCCAGGTGGAGGAAACGCCTGTCCTGAGCTGGAAGGCTGGTCCAGGGCAGAGAATGGCAGGGGTCAACTCGGCCACATCACGGGGTCTGAGGACGGCGAGTGGGAGGGGTCAGCAGGGGTCAGGCCCAAGGGCCCGCTGAGAAGCTGCGTCTCCTCCCCCGAGTGGGCAGCCCCGGCAGGACGGTGGACGGGGATCGACCAGACTCGGGCTGAGGGAAGACGAGACTGGTGCAGTCACCCAGGTGTCACGTGGCTGAGAGACGTCAGTGGCATGTGCCAGGTGGTAGGGACTGGGCTGAACGTGGGTGGCAAGATAAGGGAGAGGCCAGGGGACACCCTGCTGCCTCGGACCCCTCCCCGGGGAGGGCCCTAGTGGTGGAGACAGCTCTGCAGAGCCGGGTCCCTCTCGGATCTGCCCAGCATATGGGGACCCCACGAGGACGTCCCAGAGCCTAAATGTGCAGCTTTCACGTCCCTGCGGGACAAGCTTCTGTGGTTTTCTGGGGCACGACCAAAGCATCCAATTAAATCTAAATTCTCTTGGGGAAAAAAGGTGCAAAAATAAAACCACCACCACTGTGCACACTGCAAGCCTGGGTCCTAGCGTCAGATTACAGGACCAGGGCTAGAAGGGGCCGGGCAGCTCTCGGTTCCACGCCGAGAAGGCCCAATTCCTGGGCTGCTGGTGGATTTTCTTCCACCTCTGGCCACCTGGACGTCAGAGGTGCCCACGTGCTGGCCAGCGGGCAGGACCAGAAGAGCCAGGGCGGCTCCCTGGGCATGTGGCCCCCGCGGCACCCCCAGGCCCCGTGCTCAGAAGGGCCCACGCTCGCCGCCTGGAGATTCTTAATCGTCCCGGCACGAGGGGTGACCTTTCCAGTTTGCGCGGTGCCCCACCAGCGGTGGGAGCCAGCCCCCCGGCCAGCTATGGGCACAGTCCCTCTGTGTTGGGAACGCTAGGACTCTTTTCTTCTAGCTTTTTCCAGATGTCACGATAAGTCAGCGTTAACCACAGTTGCCTTCCTGTCGAACGCTGGAACACCCCTCTGCCCAGCCGTCTGTCTGTGCCCCTCAACCAGCGTCTCCGCGCCCACCCCGCTTCCCAGCCGCTGCCCCCAGCTACAGCGACCCGGCTGTCCACGTGGGTGGCTCCGTGCCCACTTGCCGTCAGGCTCCTGCCCCTGAGATCGCCACTCGAGCCGCCCGAGTGCCCGAGGCCACCGCGGATGACACCCGAGTCCCCACCCAGAGCACGGGGCGCGGGGGGCGCCGCGGGCACGCGGCCGGACGCGCACTTACTCGAGGGAGACGGTGAAGTGGAAGCGCTGCCTCAGGCCCCTGAAGGTGACGAAGGACTGAGGCGGGAAGCTCCGGGTGGTGACCTCGCAGTAGGGCCGCTCGAAGGCGCCGGGCGGGCACACGCAGCGGAAGCCGCCGACGAGCAGGTTCACGCAGGTGCCGCCGTTCTTGCACACGCCGTGGGCGCAGCGGCCGGAGCGGGCGTCCACCTCGCAGTGCTCTCCTGGAGGGCGGGAGGGGCGCGGGGGGAGGGCGAGAGGTCACGGGGCGGCCGAGGACGAGCCAGCCCGCCAGCCCCGCGGGGACCTGGACACACACCCCGCATAAGCTGCTGCGGAGAGAAAACACGCTGGGGCCGGAGGTCCCCGATGCGGGCGTGAACCTTGCGGCTCTCTCGGCCTGTCCCAGAACCGGGCCGCGCTGCGGTTCTGCGTGTGTTGGTTTCCGAGCTGGACGTCCAGCTCCTGGGGCTGCGCTAAGGTGGGGGCCCAGGCGGCCTCCAAATCCCTCCCTCGGAGGAGTCCTCCAGGGAGGTGCCAGGTGGCCGAGCCTGCTGGGCTCCTGCATCCCAGGGGGCACAGAACCGTAGCAAGGGGCCCTTCTCAGCATCCAGTCCCGTTCCGGGCTGGACTCTCTTCCCAGGAGACCCCTGGAAACAGGAAGGGGGCCTCAAACGCCCCCACACCCATGTCTGCCACGATCACTGAGCACATCAGGGCCTCAGAGCACGCCACGCTCACACCGGGCCGGGGGGCGCCTGCCTAGGGGGCTTCCTGCCCCGTCCGCCTCCCTCCTGACCCTCACGCAGGCCCCCTCGCCGTCCCAACACTGGAGTCCAGCTCGGTTTTAACCCCACGTGTCTCCCCACCGGCCTGTGAGCTCCTGAGGGCAGGCACCACCGTGCTCTGATGCCCTCCCCCGGGGCTAATCCCTCCTGGGACAGGAAGGTTCCAGAAAGCTGCCCGCTGCCCGCCTCCCCCAGGGCCGCAGTGCTCCCCAGCAGGAAGGCCCCACTCAGCACCAGCCGCCTGTGCACTGGCCGCAGGGGTCTGGCTGCAGTGAGCTACGGCCAGGCCCTGCCCTCCAGCCTGGGCACACAGCGAGACCCTGTCCCCTAAAAAAGGAAACAAACCCCCTGGCACAAATACACGAAACTCAGAACTCCAACGTGAGGGCGCTCGGCGCGGGACAGAGTTTGCCCTTCAAGTGGCAGCATCTTCACCAGCCCAGAACGCACTGGGGTCCCCAGCGTGGGGTGGCTCTGCGACACGCCTTCACGACAGGCACTTATGGGCGTCTCACGAGAGGCCTCCATCCACGTCTCGGACAGCCACGGCCACATTTGGATACCAGCTCAAACGACAGAATGGAAACACGTTTGCGTGACGTCTGTCTGTTCGGGCTGCCCCGACAAAGCACCACAGACCGGTGGCTCACACGCCAGACACTCAGCTGGGAGTTCTGCAGGCTGGAAGTACGAGGTCCAGGCTCCGGCTGACTTCGTTTCGCGTGCGGGCTCTCCACCTGGCAGTGTCCTCACGGGCAGGGAGGGGCTCTGGCCGCCGTCCACTCCTCTTAAGGACTCTCGTCCCATCACCGGCCCCACCCTCGTGCCCTGCCATCTCCAAGTACAGTCACAACTCAGGCTGTAGCCAATGTGTTTGAGACAACTGGGAATTTGAAAAGACTGGATAGTGAACGATGAACTTTATTATCAATTTTTAAAAATAAAAAAAGAAACAATCAGATGCTATTGAGGATGGGCGCTAAGGGGTGGGTACCCCATAAGGGTGGGTACCCCAAAGTCCCCAGGACCGAGGCTCTGGGGTGGGGGTTACTGCTACTTCACAGCTGAGACCCTGCACTCAGACGTCCCCCTTCCCGCTAAATCCCGCAGCCCAGGAAGCTGCCGAGCCCCAGCCAGTGACAGGTCAGCGTGGAGATGCAGGTGTCCGGGCAGGCTGAGGGCTTGCCACAATGCACAGCAGCCCGGCCCCTCTGCCCGGACCAGGTCCCTCACTGCCTCCAGGCGCAGCCCCCAAGAGGGTTCCGCACCCAAAGCCAGGGCCCCCGAGTCTGACTCTCACAGGGCCAACCTCGGACGGACGCCGACTTCAGTGACTCAACAACCGATTAGTTTAAGGACAGCCTTCCCATCATCCAAGGGGACGCCTCGCGGGAGTGATCGCATGTGAGGGAACAGATGAAACTGATCTGAAATTAGCACAACCATCATGAGAAACAAAGGCGCCCCCAAGAAAGCCCAGTCTCCCCAGGTGCCTCCCACCTGCACTGCCAGGCTGCACCCGGACGCACCACAGCCTGGGCAGGTGACGCTGGCCTTTGCTGGCCTTCACGAGCAAGCCTGGGCCACCCCGACACTGACCCCTGAGGACGGTGGGCGCCCAGAGCTGACCCCCTGGTCAGGCCACAGACAGGACAGCCCCCCGCCCCCGAGTAGGTGCTTCCCGCCCTGCTTGGAGCTAGGATGGAAGGAAGCAGCCCCCACCTCACGGCAGCTCCACCCACCCGGGGAAGCTGCCTGACCTCCCGACCCCGTGGGCCGGCTGTGTGCACACACGGGCCCTCCCGCACGCGTGCACGATGCTCCTAACCTTTTCCTACTCTCACACACAACCTCCCACACGCATGCACACTCATCAGTAACCTCCCACACATGCACACACATAACCTCACACACATGCACACACATAACCTCACACATGCACACACATAACCTCACACACATGCACACACATAACCTCACACATGCACACACATAACCTCACACATGCACACACATAACCTCACACATGCACACATATCCACGTACACTCACACACTCATACGTGTACTCACACACCCGCTCACACACACATACATGGACACCCCTCACATGTGTCCTCACACGCTTAGTCACACATGCACACGCTCACACACTCGAGGCACACTCACACCTGGGAGTCAGGGCTCCTGGGCTCCCCCCACACCCCCGTGAGCGGCCTGCAGCCCCCCTAAATTCTGTGCGTTGCCGTGACCTGCATCGCTTAAGGTGGTGTATTTCTCCTCCTTCAGACACTTCAAATTCTCTCCTTTCCACTTTAAAAGCCTGTGACGTTTGGGAGTGTTTGCCTTCCGAGCTCCAGCAGCACATTCTGAAACAACAGCCGCCGAGAGAGGGGCGGGGCGGTGGGGTGTGCTCGCTGAGCCGCCCCGCAAACAGGGGCCTCCTCGGCCTGTCCCAGAACCGCGACAGTGCTCCGACACCCCCAGGAACGCGGGCCCAGCCTCGCCCGCCGGCCACGCCACCGCCCAGCCCCCCGTCGCCTCGGACTGGACAGCTGGAGCTCGCACTGCCCTCATCTGAGTGCTAGAAGGTTCCTTCCCAGCCACGCCTGGGATTTCCTCTACAAGGCCCCGGGAGGAAGGCTCTCTGTCCGCCTCTGGACGGTCTGAACTTGACTTTGTGGCCCAGCAGTCCCGCCTCTGAATTCGGTTATCAGAGGCTGCAGGCCCCTCGGCCCCCGTGGAGGGACAGTCGGCCTTCGAGGCCCCGGTGCCCCCAGGAGGCCCGGAGGAACACACACACACACACACACACGGGTGTCGCTGCCCCTCTACTTAACAGGCCTTGCTGGTGTGAATAATTTGCAAATAAAGCTAAACCTCCATGAAGCTGGTTTGGTTTTCCGAGGACGAAGCTGTATATTCTCTGGTTTTTGCTTATTTTCATTTCCAGGAGGCAGCTGCGTCGGCTTCCTAGGGCTGCCGAGACCGACAGCCACGAACCGGTGACTTGAACGGCAGAGGATAGCAGGCCAGACGCCCGAAAGCCAGGTGTGAGCGCCCATGAGACAACCCAGGGGAGGGTCCTTCCCGCCCTCCAGCTCCTGGGGGCTCCCCGACTTCCTGCGCTTGTGGCCCCTTCCCACATGGCCGCCTTCCCACAGCGCGTCAAACCTCCCCCCCTTCCTCCCGTGAGGACGCCAGTCATTAGCTTTCCAGCCCACCCTACACCAAGGATGATTTCACCTCGAGCAGCTGAGCCATCCCATCTGGAAAGACTCCATTTCCAAATGAGGTCATGTTCTGAGGTTCTGCATAGACAGGGATTTTGGGGGTCATGACGTGGCCCTCTGTGTCTGTCCTAGAAGTACAGTCGTGGGACATTTTGGCCTCTGCACGCACAGTGCCGAGACCAGAGGCACCAGACACTGCTGGGCCCTTCCCGGGGACACCTCCTTCCCCACCGTGACCCCCAGGCTCCGATGTCTCTGCCATCAGGAGACCGTCTCCCCGCCTTGGCCTCTGCCGGCTCCTTCCCCACCTGGCCAGCCCCCTCCCACTGCAGCCCCTCCCCCCTTCCCCAGGTCGTCCCCTGTTCTCTCTATGCCGCCCCCACCCCCGACCTTCCCCTCTCCACACTGGTCTCTGGGCCCCTGTCTGGGGCAGGGTCTCAGCCCTGGAGCCATCCCCTCCCGCCTCGCCCCTGCGGCCTCCCAGAGTCCTGGGCCCTCCTCTCTGCAGCCAGAGGCAGCTGCCACCTGCGTAACCACAGGCCTCGTCAAGGCCCCTGCACCCCCTCGCCCCAACTGCCTGGCAGATGAGCTTGTTCTGCACACGGAGACAGGCGGGGCTTTCCACGGTGCAGGTGCTGCCGTGTGTCGGTCTCGCTGGCTAGGATCCCATGAAGACCGCACCATTGTCAATAACGGTGATGAACAGCGACCATCCTCCGGGCCCAGGGTCCTCGCTCCTGGGTCTGCACGTGGCTTCCTGGTGCCTGGAGGCCGCCCCAGGTCCCTCACTGTGCCCGTCCTCCCTCTCAGTCACTCGCTCTGGAAGCTCAGCCCGTGGCCTGCCAGACTCTCGCGGACCCCAAATCCCTCCTCTCTGGAGAGCACCCACCCAGCTGCACGGTCACCCCACTTGAGTGACTATGTCTCACCGAGTTTGTCCCCCAGCTCTGTGAGGGCAGCAGCAGGATCTGTTTGGGGGCCCAGGCTGAGAATGTCGGGCATGCAGTGGGCGCCCAGCGAATGCCTTGCGCATTGCATGCGGGGCACCCAAGCCCCCGGCAGGGCGGGGTGCCCGGCACACAGACGGCATTGACGAATGCTTGTAAGATGAAGTCATGGAATGCCAGGACTTTCCCCAGTTCCAAGCCAATGATTAACCCAGGTACTTAATCCACCACGTTACAAAACCTATGCAACTCGTGCA